TATATAGAGAGAGAGAGAGAGAGAGAGAGTATATATATATATATATATATATATAGATATAGATATATATATAGCTTGATAGATAGATATAGGTTGGTTTTATCGATGACACTGTGTTTGCTCCCAGTAATAGTACTCGCGAGGCAACAAATAACTACGGTATTAACCTCCGGCCACGCCATTAGTCACTGAAAGTACAGTGTGAGACTCAGGCAACGCAATCAGTCAATGGCAAATAGCTCAGATCAGCCTACTTTATAGAAACTCAGCCTTATGAATATTTAAATATTAAGATCACGCTCTTCAAAAGCCTTGCTAGTTATTGATGTCATTAGAGACCATAATCTTAGCAAGAGTTTCTACCTCAAAATGAGGCCTCTCCTCCAAATATGTGTGAGTTCACATTTTGCTTTTCCTTGTAAGAAGGGCGTAGGTGTCGCCCCTTATTTTCTCCCTTCTGCTCTGAATTTCTCCCTTAAATCATTTGAAGTTCTCAGTAGGCGATCTACAGCTGTTTCACCAAGCGGTTATTTACCATCTCCCTGGCCCTTATTCTGGCCTTTTTATTTGAATTTTTTCAGCTTGTGGCTGACATGGTGACTCATGCAGATAATATACCGTACTTCGGATGGGTGACTTGAATATTCATTAGACCCACCACAGAACGGGGCATTTCCAAAAATAATTGCTACTTTTGATTTCATGCAGATAAAAGACACATAAAATTTGGTAATACTTTAGATTTGGTATTAACTTGGGGCTTAGCAACGTCAAATGTAATGATATGACCGTATACCACTGCTAGTCTGACCATTACTTTATAAAATGTGAAGTCTTGACTCATCGTCATCGTCCTGACAACAAACAAAACTATAACAGCTGCAACATTAGGTTTTCAATCACTATTGTGCTCTCTGAGCAATGCTTCCTTTCCAACTTACATTGATTTGATTAAGATTCTCACAAAAGATATCATTGCTATCCTGTTAAACACCCTTGATTTCGTAGCACCATTAAGATTTAAAACTCGTCCAAAGGGCCTTACTGCGAACTTTGTGTGACAGACATGTCGAAAGATTGAGCACAAATGTGTGAAATAACTTGAGGACTTCTGTCAGGCATGGTGCTTGTTGAAATACAAAGAAGCTGTCGTTTTAGCTATAGCCACCTATTTCTCCAGAATAAACCGGGCTC